AAATTTCTCATCAAATTTATTTGTAATAAACAAAACAGTTACTATTATGAATTATTCTTCTGGTTCTCTTCTCTAAACTTACCTAAAAGTATTTGAATAAACAAACATGGAACGGTTTTAATTAATGTCTAATTTCCCATATGAAAAAATACCATGTAAGTACAACATGGACAGTTATATGGACAATGAATCTACATAGTCCAAAGCAACACTCTTACCCTAAAGGCTCTGTTATATGGTCAGAGCTACAGTTTTGATTTATATAAGAGATGTTCCCACTTCCCTCCTCAGATATAAACTATAAGTACTTTGTTTAAAAAAAAAAAAAAGAGAGGAAATGCATCCAAATAAATTCTGACATTTAGAAACATATTCAACACTTGCAAGCTAAAAGAGTATCAAAAAATAAAATTGGTTGGTCCTTAAAGCAGCCTCATAAACACCCCATTTTGGTATTTCCAGGAAAATGCTTTTATTAGGACTGCTTAAAGCAATGCTTTCATTCGATTCACCCTAGACAGTCACTGACCTCTGGGTTAACTCAGGCAACCAGGCGATCCACATAGCTACTCTTCCTCCAATCAACTCACTGACGGGTAGAGGGACGGGTACTTTTACCCCTAGGTGCATGAATAAACTTTCCATACTACCTAAACTGACCAAAATATTCCCAGCCTTCCACATCCCTCCCTGCTCTGCAACTGCACAGTTTTCAACACAAACATATGCCCTTCATATTAAAAATGTTCTATCTGCAATTCCTAAAATTCCGTGGAATTTAATCACAGTAGTTTTTCTCATGTAATTGTACAAGCAAATCACAAAAACCTATTTGGTCATCACCCGTGCTCAACAGGATATTAAAAACTTCAATTTGATCAGTGTGTCACGGAGAAAAAAGTATGCAAAAAGATGACAGGGTTAAATTAGCCTCTACATGGTAACAAGGAATCAAGACATTGAATGGCTTATTTTTTTTCTTTAAACTTTCATAGCTTAAGCATGACTGTGATTCGCATATGTACTTAGTACAGAACTGTAACACACTGAATATGTGGTACAACATCTTATATTAATAATGCCTATCCTAGTATGTATTTATAATCAATTGGCTCAAACAGTTACATTACAATTTTTTAAGATCATGATTATATCTGCCACAGATAAAAATATGACACATCCCCATGTTTCTCTAATTTATTCATGATTGTCTACTCTCAGTTTCTAGCAAGAGGGTCATAAACAAATTCATTCATTCAGCAAATATTAACCAAGAGCATTCTACAAGTTAGATATTATACTAAAAGCTGGGACTTAATAGTGAACAAAATAGACAGAATCCCTACCTTCATAAGCTTGCAGTGTAGGACGGGAAGAAAATCTACAATGATATATACATAATTACATTCAGAAGACCAAGAACATTTATTCTTCCAGTTACAACTGGTCTAAACTTTGCCTGTTTTCAATAGGTGGAATCCAATCAATAAAAAGCATTTGCTAACTCTATTGATGATTAAAATCTAAAGAATAAAGATTTCAAAACCATATAAAGCAAGAAAACAGGAAAAAAACGTATTTTCTAAGAATTGAAAAAATATTTCAGGAGGAATATCTGTAACCTGAAAAAAGCATTTGGGGCCTCTCGTTTTATACAGAACTTAAAAACAAATGAATATTAAATGATGTAGCCTCTGTACCACCCACAGAAGTATTTAGTGAATAATAACGCATACTAATCAATGAAAGTAAATAATCATAAATATCAATCAAACAGTCAATCTAGGTACTTTACACCTGGGAAGCAAATGAAAACATCCATCAAATTAAAATGAAGTATGCTCTTATATATCTATATAGAAGATGAGGAGAAAGTTTTCTTTGGGTGTCAAATAAAATAAACACTAATATAAATGAATTCAAAGAATGAATAAGTTAAAGGAGGACAAGAAAGAATTCAGAATTTAACATAATGTTCCCATGGTGGCAGATATCCGGGTTAATCTTTTAAAAATCAAAACGTGTAAGTATTCCACAGGGAACAGATTTGGAAGACATTGGCACAATTGCCGGATATAAATCAAAACAACCCAAATTCTACTGCCACACCTTCCTTTAATCATAGAACTACTATTTTCCTTTTCTAATTTCCCCATATTACTTATATGTGTATATATGTGTGTGGATGTATAGATATGCGTGCCTATATACACACATATATATAAAAAACTGTGTGAGCAAATGCGAAGGTCTAAATTTTTATGCCTGCCAAACAATTCCTTTTCCGTTAAAATGGTGTCATGCCTTGAGCAAAAATTTACTTTGAAAATAATTTCTTACTGAATTTTACTTCAATATAGGGGGGAATTCCTCCATTTAAATAAACAGGTTTAACGTATTAGCAGATCTTTAAACTGTCAAAGGATTATGTTCTCTACCCACCTCTATGTAAGTTTTGTTTAAATGAAGGAAGGAACTAGAAAAGTCAGTCTACTCATCAAAGTAGCAAATCAGGAATTCCTCAAATGAAACCCCACCCCAATACCCTCCCTTGTTCAAGTCAACTTTCCTGGATTCAAAGAATCGTGAAATCACACACTCGTACACATGCAAGCACAAATCTACGTTTAGTATATATTGCTACTACATAGTGCAGGTACTGCAGTGTTAAGTTACAAAAGCAACACGCCTAGAAAATTAAGCAGTAGCAATTCTTACATGATGTCCAGGGATTCTATGTCTGACAGGAAGTTGTATAATTTTTGAATGTTACTCACAAATGTAAGTTATTATATTAATGTCATATTTTTCTATCACTCCTACTAAGCCATATTTGCCAGACAGGTTGGGGCTGTATTAAATCCTACTCAAACACCTAATAAGAGGGTTAAAAAAGTCCTCAACACCACCACTTTAGCAGTAAAACTGATTTACTTTAAGTATTTTTTCCTCAGAAAATTATCTCCAAGCTCATTTTGAAAAGCATGGTATGTTATTTAAATGCAGTTTTCAAAAAAGCATCCTTATAAGTGTATTTCCCTCTTAGTCATTCAAATCCAGGCCCTTGGACAAACCCCTGGAGGCTTTAACTCCTGGCTGCTGGAAAACCCATAACTGTCACATTTCAGGCAAACAGGCTTGGTTGGAGGGACCTCAAAAGCCCTGTTCACTGCTAAACAGAAACAAAGACAGTAAACAGCGTAAAATAAGAAGAAACCCCGGTTCTAAAACAATTCTCTCTAAAACACATGCTTTTCTCCTTAATTGTGCACTTAAACACTCTATATATTTCTATCGCCCTATTTTCTTCTCAATTGAGAATTCAGGAAACATTCAACTGTATGTTTCCAGCCATTTGAAGTAGCGCAAAATAAGAATTTAAAAAAACAAAACAACAACAACAACAAAAACCGCTTCACTTTTCCAACTGCAGTTTCCCCTCAAGCCCACCTCTTTCATGCGGGCTTTCTTTGCCTTCCTTTCTTTACAAACATGAGCACATTTATCCACTTGGATTTCAAAATGAAGACACAAAGCATGGCATGTGAATTAACCATTTGTAACTATGAGTGATCATTATATTTTGTTCCTGACTATAAATGATCCAGTAACAAAAGCAGTTCAAGTCCCCAAGGCAATTGGCTCCTTGAGCCAGCAAATGGAATGATCAAGATAAGAAAATGCATGCTTCTCAAACACAAACTAACTGTACAATATTCTTTTCTTAGAGAAATGTTTTAGAAACATAATTATTATACATGCAAATATGTGGAACACAAGTGCAGACATTTTTCAGGCCTGTTACTGCAAAGCTGTTTGCTCTTCCTACCACAATAGCTCAGTTATGTCATGCTGGCTATATGTGAACCCTGATTGCTTGATTCTGAACATTCTGTCAGAGATAATAATCAATAGAATTCCTATTTGAGAAATGGCATTATCTTGCTAACTTTGTATCAAAGCAGAATGTTGTGGTTTCTTTCAAGATTAGAGGGAAATCTTTGCTGTACACTTCCCATTTTTCTTCCAGCCCTGATTCCAAAGATATTAAAATGCTGCTTTAAACAAAAGGTTTCTATTTGTTTCCATGAAAATAATTGAGAGACTGCACTGGTTTTCAGTTTAACTATTGTGAATTCAGGCCTACATCTGGGTTGCCTCATTAAACAAAAGATACCCGTCGCTGTCAACAACCACACAGCACAAGGCTTCCCTAGCCCTCATCCTTATCCGGAAGGAATGGTACAAGAAGAGAAACACGCCTGTCACCATCCACTGACCAAGGAACTCTTCTGGGATCCCTGCTTTCTATGGTCTGGTGGCCAGAGAACAGCACTTGTGTGGCACATTTGGGCTTGCCCTCCCGCCCCGCCCCGCCCCCAATACACAGGCCCTTTCTTGGCAGAACCAACCACTCGGCTTCCTCATCATCACTCCTTGGAGAATCCAGTCGCGAGTCTCCCCACCGTTTCCCCATTCCCTCCGGACCCCAGAATGCACTGACAATGGACGCACACAAGCCACCCCACCGCACGCCATCCCCCGACGTGCCCTGATTTGGCTTGCCAACCTGCAGGCCACACGCACACAGCTCCCTCACTCCACGGGCCGCCAGGGCCACTACAATGGAAGTTCAACCCCTCTGCCCACCTTTCCACCCCCGCGCCTCTGCCCCCAAGTGATAAGCCACTTAAAGAAGCACAGCAGATAATGCACAGCCCTCAGAGGCATGAAAAGGCGCACACTGAGGCACCGGGCAGGGCAGCCCAGACCCCTCTGCAGCGTGTGTGTGTGTGTGTGTGTGTGTGTACGCGCGCGCGCACCCGCGCGGGGACGGGTGGTGGCCAGGGGCGCGCCCAGGAGGGTAAGGTCGAGCCCCAGGCGCCGGGGGCGGGGGGCGCGGAGGGCAGCTGCCCAGAAGGACCAGAGGTGGTAGGAGAGGGTCGCAGAGGCCGGGCCGCAGGGCCCGTGGCGGCCGACCTCGGACCGTACGTACTCACCGAGGAGCAGCAGCTTGAGCTCCCGGCGGGCGTCCCGCTTGTCCCTGCGGAGCTGCCGCTCGATCTCGTCGTTGATCCGCCGGGCTTCCTTGGCCTCCTCGCTCAGGCAGCACGCCATGATGGACTCCAGAGTCATTCTTCCAAAGTGCCTCCGCTGCAGCCCCGCCGGCACCCCCTGCTCACAGCGCGCACACACACCCTCCCGCCCTCGCTCCCCCGAGGCAGCGGTGGCCGCCGAGCCCCCGCTGCCCGGGCGCGCGTCCGGGACGAGCTCAGGGAACTGCCGCGGGGGCGGCGGCCAGGGCCGGGGCCACCAGGTGGGCCGGAGTCGCGGCGGGAGCGGGCGGCCTGAGCCGCCGGGAGGAGCG